GTTTGCATGGAAACATCTGTGTCGGACGATTTTCTTCTAATACCAGCCATGTAATGAGGCATCGGTTGGACAGCTCCCTGGCTATTCTAAATTGGTACAGCTCCACTGACTTCAGATCTTTGCCAAGGTCTAAACCAGTGTTTCTTAAACTGTGTTCTGTGGCACATCAGTGTGCCACGAGGCAGTCAGAGGTGTGCCGCGGAGAACAGAATTCAAAATGGCCACCCTTAAAGGGACAGGCAACTTCCCCCCCCTTTCTCCCCCGACCCTATTTTATTTTTATTGCTCAATAACTTCCCCCCCCCGACCCTTTTTTTTGGGGGGGTGGGGAGGGCTCAACAAAATGTCCTTGGTGTTCCTCATTAAAAAAAAAATATTGTTTGGTGCTCCTCTGTCTTAAAAAGTTTAAGAAACACTGGTCTAAAGATAACAATGGGAAACCGAGACTTTCCTCTTTAGACTTGCCCTCTAGGCAGGCTTATCTCCTGTGGAAGGAGAAGGTGGTGCCTACCCAAACCAAATCATGCACTTGACACATTTCGCCTCTTTCAGCCAGCAGAAAGTCAATGGGCAGATTGCAGACCTCCCTCCCCCTCCCCCGCACCCTGGTTTTATTCCGAATTTGAAATTATTCATTGGTGGTTTTCTTAAATAAAAGGGAGCACTATGCGCACCTTGAGAGTGGCACGCACATCTCATTTACTCTACAGCTTTGCTCCGCCATGGTCAGTAGCCAACATTTTTGAACTTCATTGGTCCAGAAAGTCCCACGGTGACACTCCTCCACGCGGAGTTCGGGAATGTAATTCTCCGTTGAGTTAGCAGTGTACATTTTCATGGAAAAGTGAGCTAAAAAATAAACATACCCCACTTCCTTGCCCATATTGGAGCATATGAGCTGGAAGCTGGATTCCCACAAACATTTGTACCATTGTACATGTGGTTTGTGAAAAGCAAATACAACTAGGGACATTAAAAAAAAAAAAAAACGTACTCAAGGCCTGATTCATATGGCGGTTAAAATCAGGTTTATACGGTGCAAGCTAAACTGGTAGAAACTAGGTTTAAACAGTAATAGAGATGTAGCCGTGTTAGTCTGGTCTGGCTGAAACAGAAGACAGGACTATGCAGCACTTTAGAGACTAACAAGATGGTTTCTTAGGTGCTGAGCTTTCTTGGGCCAGATCCACTTCCTCAGATCAAATTGTGGAAGAAAATATATGGTCATGCCCAGGGCTTGACAATTAATGTAATCTACTTGCGCGTGGCGAGTAGATTACAAGCCGGCACAGCGCGGTCAGTGCATGCCGAACCGCGTGGCTGGCGAGTGAGGCTCGCTGTGGCTTGGCGAGCCCTGGTCATGCCAATTTTCTTCCACAATGTGATCTGAGAAAGTGGGTCTGGCCCACGAAAGCTCATCACCTAATAAACCATCTTGTTAGTCTTTAAAGTGCTTCATAGTTCTGTCTTAGATTGAAACAGATTGCAACACCCAAAGCTGCACCACTTTAACTACATGGGTTTAAAGTAACACCTTTCGTTAAAGTGTAGCAAGTACAGGTGTTAGGCCAGGTCTTAGACCGCAGTCTCTCTTTAGGTGTATGTGTGATGGCTCTCACCTTGGCCAATACATCAGGATTTTTACAGGGGAGCTCCAGAGCTAATATCATGATCTACTACAACTCAAATTAAAGAGCCAACTCTCTTTGAGAAACAACTGTAATAGCTCATAACTTCTCTGGATTGGTACAAAGGGGAACCCATAACTCACTCTCACCAGTGCATTATATATCTCCAGCTCCTGATGTAAATATGCCTAGTGAAATTGGAGAATCCCAATAGGTTCTACCATGAAATAGTGAACTAACTCCAAGACCTCCGCACCATTTGTCTTTTGCCTTTCCATAAGTAGACACATGAGGTGGCGTCACCCTAACAATGAGACAGTGTCACCTCTTCACCCCAACATGGCACAGTTCACCTGTGGAACTCATTGCCACAAGGTACTATGGAGGCCAAGAGCTTGGCATCTGCAAGCAGGGCATTTGGGGCAGGGACTGTCCGATGAGAAACAAGTCTGACTAAGCACATTCAGCCAGTCCCCCTCCAAGTTGAGATCCAGGAGAACACACACAGATTTAAAAAATAATCCCTCTTCAAGGAGTTGATGCTCTAGCTTTGCATTTAATTCCCCACTCTTCATGGGCCAGATTCTAGGCTGGTGGATGCTGGCAGAGCTCCAAAGATGAGGAGCAGGGTTCTGTGCATCTCTCCGTCCTAATAAGATAGGAAAGCGATGACAATTGACAGAAAGAATTTGAATGAGATAGATTGGGAGGCATTGGGGGGGGGGGGGAGGAAACACACATACACATGCTCCTCAGGGCACAATGATGGTCTATTCTCCCCTTCGCAAGGGCTAATCCTCGTCGGTTTTAATTGGCATTTGGGCTAAGCTGATTTAAGCCTCTTCACCTTGGGTTGTTTCTTCTTTTCTCTTTCCCTTTTGGCTACTGCCGAGTCCCTAGCACACTAACATCTTTGTGTGAGGGAGAGAAAAGAGGAAAAGAGGCCCGGGGGGGAGGGAGAGGGAGCGCGGGGAGGGAAAAACCAGGCTGAACCTGCTCTAAAACAATGAGGAGTTTGTGAATCAAGCGGAGCCGCTGGCAAAGAAACCGCTTCAGCTGTGCTTCATTAATAAAAGTACTGGCTACTGCCGAGTCCCTAGCACACTAACATCTTTGTGTGAGGGAGAGAAAAGAGGAAAAGAGGCCCGGGGGGGAGGGAGAGGGAGCGCGGGGAGGGAAAAACCAGGCTGAACCTGCTCTAAAACAATGAGGAGTTTGTGAATCAAGCGGAGCCGCTGGCAAAGAAACCGCTTCAGCTGTGCTTCATTAATAAAAGTACTGTCCCTGGGTCAGAGCCAGGCCTCGGCCCTTTCCCATCTCCCTTCCCCTTCCCTCTCCAACCCCTCTCCCCACAACCTTTGAAGAGCCTGTCAGCCAAAGGACAATCCGCTCTTGTGGGAAGCATTCCCACTGTCCCCCTGTAGATTTAATTTCTCTGGGGCTGGAAACACTTGCATATCCTAGCACCCAGCATGAAACGGCCCCTGCCTGAAACCACCCTCCCATCAATCTACTGCTCTGCGGGCTCACATTCCTACCCATCCATTGCTTTGCGTGCCGCTTAACGACCGATAGAGCCTGTTACGGTCAGGTACTCGTCTCTACTATCTGTTCTCTAATATCCATGCCTGAGCTAACTCAGAAAGTCATTTATATAGCACTCGATCCCTGTAGAATTGGGATGCTTTGCTGCACGGCAACCTGTAACCAGGCCACTGCCACACACCTGCCAACGGAACCTCACCTGAGACACCCACGTGGCCGGGGCCAGTAGGCCTTTGTCTCTCACTGCGACTCGCTGCCCAAGGATGGGGGAGGAGGACATTTCAAAACCCCATGAGACAGACGCTTTCCTCCTCCCGCTCACAGGTACAAATCCAGCCTGTTTGACATGGGACTAAAAACCGCTGCTGGCCGGATTGGTGCTAGGAGGCGGGTGCGCCTCTCTGCAGTGTCTCTTTTCCAGGAAGACCTTTGGGTCTGAACTTTCATTTCTATACTAAGGCCCCTTAACTAGTCAAAAGTGTGAGTTAGCCTAGCTGTGTGGCCCCTTTCTGCTGCCAGAGTGGGGTAAATGAAAATTAGGGTTCCTTATTTCTTCAGTGTGATTATTTCTGTACGCCGCCGTTGCTGTCGGACACATGGACAATAGACAGACTGGCAAGGGCCAACTCTCCCCGTTCAAGCATCAGTGTCCAGTGAGGTTTTCCTGAAAACCCCTGGTGTCATGTTATTTTGAGAGAATCGCAGCTTTCATATTTAAAAAAAAAAAGCTTCTAGCCCATACAGTGGTGGAGAAAAGCGTCCAGCTACGAGGCAGGCATGCCTGTTGGTGTAACCCCTGGTGCCGATGGGAAGGTTTAGACACCATGAGCCTGAGTCTCATCCTCTGGGAGTGGATGGATCGTTAGAGCAACAACCTTGGACGTGAGAAGGCTGCATGCAACTCCCTGCTCTGATGGTTGGCCTCTGACACCTCCATGAAAAAAAAAAAAAAATCAACCTCTGTGCCTCAGTTTCCCCCATCTGTATAATGGGAATAAAAGCTCTTTCCTACCTCACCCACATTGAAAATGGTGAGGCTCTCAAATACGATGGCAATGGAGACCCACAGCCTAGAAGAGAGCTGAAAGGACCTTAAAATGAGTCTGAATTACAGTTATGTCCACTTCAAGGCCCCTTCACACTGGGACCCGGTTATAAAGGAGAATCTGACACAACGATGGAATGATTTGTCCAAGGCCAGTGAGTGAATGACACAGGTAGGGACAAAGTGCAACAGGCTCGGTACCTAATCTTTGCTGCAACCCCTATACCGGGGTGGGCAAATACCAGCCCGTGGGCTGGATCCGGTCCCCAGGGTTAGCCTTTGGGGGCCCCCACTGCTATACTGACCTGCGTTTCCATAGATACCGGTGATTGCCACGCCCATTGGCAGCAGATTGCTGGTCCCAGCCAATGGAAGCTGCAAGAAGCGGTATCTGGTCCACACTGCTTCCCGCTGCCTCCATTGGCCAAGAATGGCAATCCATGGCCAACAGGAACTACAATCACCAGTGCCCGTGAAGATGCAGGTGAATATAGTGATTGCAGCCCAGCAGGGGCTAATTCTGGCGAACCACCCACCCCTGCCCTAGATAGGGCTTTCCTCCATCATGATTTTGGGGGATTATTACGTGGCAGGGGACCAGACTTGATGACCTCTCGAGGTCCCTTCAAGTTCTAGGATTCCATTGCATCTTGTCCCTGGTCCACGAACACACACCAGGAGGGAAACTCACCCCACTAGGATGCCATGCCTGTGCTTAAAACAAACCACCACCAAAGAAAAACCTTGTCACAGTCATGGGAGCTTCCAATAAGTCTACTTACCCAGGAATTCCAAGTGAACTTTCACAGGGACTCAAAACCCACACTTCTCCATCCAGGGTGACAGTGGCACAGGGACATCGCCTTAAAATGACACCCACGCTAGACCCTAAGGGAGAAAGAAAGGAAACCCTTTTTGTGATAAACAGCAATAAAATCCATGGCTAGATAACTCACAAGCAACAGAGACAGCCAGGAAGATGTTCCTGGATTCTGTTCTAGCTTTTTCCTGCAGGGACTGAGGCAGGAAGATAGAGACAGGTTTGTGACTGGGCCTTTTCCCTGCATTATTTCATTAGTGGCTGCTTCCAGAATTGAGCTCTGGTAGAAAAGATCATGCATGTTTTCCATGGAAAAGCTCACAAGTAGTGCTGGCTGAATGAGAAACCTACTGCCCAGAATCACCTGGCATCTAGAAAAATCAGCTGAGATGCAGAAGATGGGGGATTTAAACCTTTGATTTGGACCAAGGATCTGAACCCAGGCCCCTTTATCACCCCTGACTCAGGGCTACCTGTCCCATCCTGACTGGGTGCTGGTGTAGGTGGGACTTGAACCTATAACCCTATCCTCCCCAGGCAAGTGCCCCATCCCCTAGGCCATGCAGGAACCTATCCCACCACCTTACCGCAGGGAGGCCCTTTATCCTGCCTGCCCCAGGGCCGTCTGTCCTGACCTGATGGGATCAAAAATCCCATCCTGGACCCAAGAAGCCTGGCCTGATAAACAGTCAGTGGAAATGGGTACATTCCCAAGCAAACCGGTAGCCTCGGCAAGCTGACATTTTCCAGCAAAAAAACAAAAAAAACGCAGCTTCATCTGAAAATTTCCCACCAGCTTGTTTTGGCTCAAGATACAGTGCCGATGAAAATCTAAGTTGCTAAGACCCACCTACACTGCTCTGGCAACATAAAAAAAGGCCCTAAAATGGAAGTTATTTCCAGTCACGCTTGCTTTCAGATGCCTTCGCACTGCCAGCGTGATACAAGGACAGCAGGGCAGCGATGGGCAACCGAGGTGAGTGAGTGGGCCCTTCATCTCAGGGGGCCACAAGATTGACCCCATCCCAGGAGACATTTTGCTCACGGCGCTTGCCTCTCTAGAATGTGTGGGGGGTGCCGATGGAACGGTAGCAGCGCTGGAATTGGCTGCAGAGGGAGCACCCGGATCTCACAGTCAGTGCTGCGTGCACTTCCCTTCACCTGCCCTGGCTTCGTGTGCATGTCACTGAACACCGGTAGGAAAAAAAAATACTTGGACGGAAACCAGGGGAATCCTGCAACCCTGTGCATGGGCAACGGTCAACAAAATGTCTCGTGGGCCACACAGAACCCCAATGGGCCACATGTGGCCCACCTATCCCTTAGTATCAATGAGAAACAGACCCAAAATATTTCATTTAAATCACAAGGGAGAGAACCGACCAATATAGGCCTTTGGCCCTGGGGCCTGATTCTTCCTTGCCCTGCTCTTTGCGCAGTCATTAACAACAGTGCAAAATGAGAATCACACCCTACTAAACCATTTTACACCCTCTTTGGGTGTAAAGAACTGCACAAAGAGGTTTGTTGCCAGGCTAACGTTATGGAGCCTTGTAGCTCATCTGCAAACAGTCTGTGGCCCACAGTCAATATCAGAGCTGTTTAGATTGAATGTGCAGGCTCGTGCATTTTGATACTATTGTGAGGATGCCATAGAAACATGTTAAGCCAGACCGAAACAATCCCACCTGACCAGTTTTCTGACTGCATAGGTGTAAGGGTTAGAACAGCCTTTCAGATGCAAATGCTTATAATGACATTCCTGCCAATTCCAAAAACTCATGAGTTTCCATTTGGGTTTTTTGGGAGGCTTGAAGATTGACTTAAAAATCATCCCATTTAAAAAAATAATACATCTGGGGTTGTTGATTTTTTAATTTGCCTTCTGGTTTTTGCACTTCTCTGTAACCAGAGACACAAGAATTTTTCTTCTGAATTAAAAAGAGTCCATGTTCTCCACTCATTACATGACTCTAGCAGCAGGGGCTTAAAAAGAGGGGGGAAAAAACCTTGGGTGAGGGACAGGGGTGAGGAACCTTTTTTGGTCAGGGGCCGCTGACCAACAGGAAAAAAAAAAATCAGTCGGGGGCCGCACACAAGTGAGAAGCAAAAAAACCCAACAAAACCCTCACTGAATTGGTCCCTATTTGAGAAGGAGAAAGACACTCCCCACATTTCCCTCACACCCACAGCCTAGAGGGGCCCAGGCTAGAAGATTTGTGCGCGCCTAGGGTTGCCAGGTGTCCGGTTTTGAACTGGACAATCCAGTATTTGAGCTTTCTGTTCGGGAAACCAATTTAGACAATAGAACTGTCCGGTATTTTCTAAATAAGATGGAATGTCGATTGTGATGTCATATCAAGTGTGCCTAGTATTTTTGTTGAAACCATCTGGCAACCCTATGTGCACCAGCTTCTCAATGCCGGGGGTGGGGCTTGAGCTTTGAGGGACAGTTCCCGACAAGCCAGCGGCCACATCAAACCCCGGAGCCTGAGGTTCCCCACCCCAGGAGTAGGCTCTCAAACATGCTCAGCACACGGAGCCCTATCTGTGGTTTCCAAGGCCTTTAACATCTGGCCCCATTTATCTAACTCTGTCCCTCTCCAAACGCGTTAGTGTGGGAGCTGTGAGTGACGTTATCCTCAACACTTCAGGGAGGAAGTGGTTTTTACAGGTGCCTGTTCTGGAATGAACTAGGTTAGTTTAAGGCAGAGTTGTTGACTCAAGTCGTGGGACTTGAACTCGAGTCCGACTTAAGTCGAGTCCCCTAGGTGACTTGAGACTCAACTCGGGTTCATGGTGTGCGACTTGAGACTCTACTTGAGACTTGCTAATTTTCTTCAATCGACTTGGTGAAAAAATTGTCCGAAAATGACGATATTGATGGCTTGTACAAAAGTGACTTGAGACTCGACTTGAGACTTGAACTGTAGTGACGTGAGACGCAATGTGGACTTGACAATGACAACTTGAAGACAACACCGGTTAATCTAGAGCCGTGGCACCCAACATGCTAGCTATTAGCCACAGGTGGCTATTTGGCCAGCTGAGTGGGGCTAGTGTGCTATAGCAGTAGCCACTAGATTGGATACTGCTTCAGAACTGGTTGGACACCCCAGATCAAGAGTCTGGCATCCTTGGGTGAGACACAACAAGAACCTCCGTGCATGATTAGCCTGAAAGGCATTCACATCAGCTGCTTGCTTCAGCCCTGCCCCCACCAACAGCCAAACTCCTACTCCAACGCAGCGCTTTCTATAACCTGACAAAGGAAAAGAACCAGACTCTATAAAGCCCACGCAGCACAAGGCCACAAGATCCAAGCCTTTAAACTCAAGGGTCTAACACTGTCCTTTCCTCTCGCAAGAGCTTCGGAACACATTCCCCCAGACATCGAAACACACGGCATCACAATACTGCGGAAAAGAAAAAACCACCAGCAGCCACAGTGCTACTGCTGCTAACCCTCTTTCCACCCAGAAGTAAACACGGCCTACTACAATTCCCACCACATTCACAACACGACTACTCTTGTCCTCCCCACTTTTCTGGGCCTCCTCTCCCCGCCTCTGTAATGGGAGGAAACCCAGACATGGGGGTCAGAATGGGTGTGCCTTGGCAGTGCACAGTGCTTCAAATGTATGTAATGCTGTTTCAGATCGGAAAGGGATGGTTTTCTCCTCGAGGAAACCACTTGCAGAGTTATTGTAAAATATCGGGCCAGCTCCTTGATGGTTGTTAATGGCCTCGTTACGTGGACTTCAGCAGAGTCAAGCTCATGCCAGCTGGATCATACCATTTATGACCATTATGGTATTACTTTTAGGAGAGGCTTAATTCATAGAGCCCTGCAAATCCGCGTCCATCCACTTTATATCCACAGGCATCTGCCTCCATGCCCGCGCCTCCTTTTTGCCGTTACGGACACAGATCTGGCTACCAATTTTCTATTCGCGCAGGGCTCTATTAACTTGCTTAGAGTGCTAGCAAATTCTGTTAAAGTGTTTCATGTTTATTTTAGCTTCTCAGCACCTCAGGTTTTACTAGATCCACCTTCCAGATGGAAAATAGACCACTTTGAATCTGACTGTGATCCTTTTCTTCATGTTAAATAGTACCTTACACCACAAGTAATTCCTCCAAAAATCAAACCGGGCTATTCGGTGGAAGCAAGTGATTCATCATCCAGCCTTGGTAGAAAGAAGCTAGAGTGGATGCATCTACACAGCACCCTAAACTCGCTAAGCAAATTGCATATCTTATTTCGATTGTTTTTCAAAATAGCTCAATTGTACTTCAAACAAGCTTATTTTGAAATTTGGTGCATCTACACCACTATTTCAACATGCCCCTTAATCTTCATGGAATGAGGGTTACAAGGATGCCAAAACAGTTCACCTGTTATTTCAAAAAATATTTCAAATAAAAATATTTCAAAATAATGGGCGCATTTAAAAGATACGGGATAGCTATTTTGGGATACTCCAGTATCCCAAAATAGCCCCACTGTCTAGACATACCCTGTGAGTCAGGGGCTGTGCTGGGAATAGAAACCCTAGTCCTTCCATGCTCTAACCATTAGGAAACCCTGCCAAACAACTTATGATACTCTGCATAAAAAAGTAGACGGGAAATCTTCCACAGTGACTAAGGTTATAAGTAAAAGCTGTGGGAAAGAGGCTGCATTGATGCTGCTAAGCTAAAATAGCTGAGACTTTTGCAAGCACCAGGCAAATATTTTCCCCTTCTTGGATAAGCAAGTTGGCAGTCAAAGAGACACACACAGAACAGCTTGCCCTTTATAACTTGGGCTTAACAGAGTCCGACAGGGAATTTGGGCCCCATATTATTAGTGGTATACGACGGCCTCTTTATGCCACTCGGCTTGCAAGAAGGAGCCTTAAAGTGGATACAACTGTAATGTATTGTTATTTTAAAGCCCCTTTACAGAGACACATAAAGAGGCCTTAGTGTAAATAGGATTCAGGTTCACTGACTGTTTTGCCATCACACCCTGAGGCCTGACAGCGCTCGGTGCTGTACACGCAGAAAACAAAATGGTAGTCAT